GTATACCATTCAGAAAATCAAAATAACCTGTCCATTGTTAAACAAAGCAAATAAGTACATAAGCCAAACAGCAGGGTTAAAGTTAAACTATAATTTCTACCTGAGATGGTTGCTACCATACTTCATAATCTGAGTCCTCTACCCTTTACTTGGAGGGGGCAAGTAAACAGGAGAAGTGACTGTTGGCCTGAGCTTCTGAGAACCAATCAAAGGGTTGGCACTCTGAGGGTATGTATGGTTGTGCCACCCTGAAAAGGCTCTTTGGTCCCTTTGGGAAGGATGTGAGACAACAGGAACTTTTATATTCTGCAAAGAGGGGTGTAAATAAGGACAACCTCCTAGAAAACAGTTTGGCATTAATTAGTAAAGCTGAACATACCCTGCATACCCTATAACCTGCTTCCATTTCTGGATTTATATTCTGGAGAAACTTTCAGATGTTCCCAGGAACATTGTTCATTATGACCAAATCTTGAAAATAACCCAATCTCTCAGCAGTAGAATGGATAAATTAAGGTGCATTCATACAATGAAATATATAAAGCAATGAGAACAAATTATTGCTACATGAAACATCAAGATGAATTTTACAGACATAATATTAAGCAAAAAAAGCCAGACCCAAAAGAATGTTTCCTGTTATATAAAGTTAAAAAACAGACAAAACTCATTTGTAGTAGTAAAAATCTGAATAATGGCCCAGCCAGTGTGGCTCAATGATTGAGCATCGACCTATGAACCAGGAGGTCACGGTTCAATTCCCAATCAGGGCACATGCCTGTGTTGCAGGCTTGATCCCCAGAGTGGGGTGTGCAAGAGCAGCCGATCAATGATTCTCTCTCATCATTGATGTTTCTATCTCTCTTCCTCTCTCTGAAATCAACAAAAACATATTTTAAAAAATAAAGAAACCAAAACAGAGGCCAGAGAAATTAAATGACTTACTCAAAGTGATTCAATCTGATCTAGAACCTAGGTATGCCTTTTGGCTACTTGTCAAGTGCTCCTCCCACCGACCCACCCTGATTCATTTAGTTAGTCCCAGTTTCCTAATATCTTCCAGTGTCACATCTCTCATAAGACTCACCTATGTTACAGCTTTTTTTCCTTCTAAATTTGACATTTTTGTTGTAGGGAAAGGAGATCAAGCGACATAGCCTTTCCTCCACAGATATTCTAAACACAAAACTAGTCAAAATATCTAATAATAGAGAACAGTCTGGGTCTATTTCTCTGATAGTTATTTTGACTTGTTAATGTAGCTCTCCCACTGGATGGCTGCTCCAACACAAAGGCTGACATTTGAGCCTCTGTGAGACACAAAGAAAAAGGGAAGGGTCTGAAAGTTGATAAAAGAATATGCTTGTCCCTTCTCTTTGTCCAAGCACAAGGTCTCTTTAGAGAAGAGTGAGCTCTTCTGCCACCTTGTGACAGAGAATGAGAATAGTGGGCCCTCAGATCCTTTCCAATCCCCCCCCTCCAGGTGGCAGCATTGCCACATGGCATCTAGGAATTCAGAGAAAAAAAATGAAATAAAGTTGACAGGGGGAAGTTTCTTAAACTATAAGAGAGCAGAGAATCATGTAACCATGTTGAGGAAATAGTAACCAAAACCCATGTGCCTTACCCCTAGCAGAATCAGGCAACTGTGGCAGGGAAAAAGGAATGCGATAATGCTGCTCTGGACCAGTAAGACTTGAGGTACTTATGTTCCCTCTACTTAGCTGGCCTCACTTCTCTGCTCCCTTCCATAGAAAAATTCCTTGAAAAGATTATGTACACATATTCAGCTCCAACTCCCTCTCAGCCTCTCCTACTTCCACCACTCTGCTGAAACTGTTCTTACAGAGTTGTCAAATATAGTGGACAGTCTGTTATCGTACACACCTCTCAGCATTTGACCAACTGATCATTTCTTCCTTGAAATACTCGCCTTTCTTGGCTTCTATGGCATTCACTCTCTTGGTTTTCTTAGCTCAAATGTCACCTCCTCAGAGAAGTCTTCCCTGACCACCCTATTTACAGTGGCCTCTCCCAGTAACCCTTCATCTCATATTCTGTTCTTTGCTTCACAACAACTATCACAATCTCTAATTATCTTATATATGTATTTGTATATTGTTATTAGCCCTTTGCACTATTTTATTTTTCACCAGGTTTGTTGTCTGCTTTCCATCTTTTCATGTGAACATAGACTTGATCTTGCTCACTGCTAGAATAGTGTCTAGCACATAGTAGGCCCACAATAAATACTTGCTAAATGAAAGGCACTGTGGCTGAATGTTCAGCACTTCTCCTCCTTCCAATTTCAGGCAACATGTTGCCCTTTGGTGACAGATATCTCTTTCCTTTTTGTTTTCCAATATTTCCCTTAATGCTCTATTTAGCCAGATTTCAACCTGAGTTAAAATGTCGGGCAACAGGGTAACATTTAAATCATGATTTGACTCAGATCTAATGAATTCCCTCATGGAATGTCTCTATTCATCATTATCAATCAGAGTATCGGCTTCTAGAACCTTCTTTCACATAGCCAAACCTATGTGGGCTCCAATGGAGTACATTTACAGTGGGTAGAGAGAATACAGAGGCTCTGGGCTTAGGCAGAGGACCTAAATACATCCTCATTTCTGCTTTATGATCCATCTACCTATACTGTCACAAAGTCTACATAGTATTATTAAAATATGCAAGTTTTAAATATCTCCAACAACAGTTATCTGTCTAGGAAAACCTTCCCAAACTGCAGGCAGTCTCTCTCATCTAGGGTATTTAGCTCTTCTTTACAACCTCTCAGCCCAATAGTCATGGGAAAGTGGTTTACCTATACTTACTTCACTATCCAGGGGTGTGAAAATGTACAAAACTAGACAGGTATGTCTGTGCTGATGTAAGTCTATGTGTGTAACTGTGAATGAATACTAGAGATCATTTGGTCAGAATATTTGCAGAGGAAAAAATTGAGATGCGGAGAAATCAAGCAATTTTCTCAAGAGGACGTAGTTAATAATAGCCTGTATTAGACCCAGTTCTCTTAATTCCTAGTGCAGTGCTTTCTCCAGTGTAACTCACCAACTTATTCAGTCCCAGTTCCCTGCTCTACTCTGTAAATCACTTTTCTTAATTGAAATCTCTTTATCTCTGTATGTTGGTGTGTTAATCTATATGCCTGTCTTAGTGAGCATGCTTGTGAATGTCTACGTGTCTACCTGCAAGTATTTATAAAGCATATCACTGGGCGTTTATGCCCTTTCTCCTAGGGAAACCTCTTGGTAATTACCATTTCTTATGTTGGCAGCAGTAATCAGGGAAGACCTTCTGAGTCAATCATTAACAAGCAGACTTGGTCCTCTCTCCAATCAGCTCTATTCCTGGGTCTTCAGGAAACGGGGCAAGATAATTAGGGTGGAACCAGACTCTCCCAGGGTCAAACTTGGTTCCAGGGCAGTGAAAATGCCTAGAGACAAAGCTATAAGGGACAGTGACAGATTAGCAGCATACTGTCTCTGCAAGGAGCATGTGCTCAAGCTGACATGGATACCATCTTGGTCTTCAGCCTAATCATTACATCCTATGATGCCAACAAGAAAGGTAAGTGCTACTCTAGCCTAATCTCCTGGAAAATCCAAAGAGAGACCTAGAAAGTGTTTGGGGTCTCTTCAGGCAAATAGAGATATAGCCAATACTCAGTTGGCAATGCTTTCCAATCATCCTATGCGTCCTCTTGCAGGACTGCAACTTATTCAACCCAGAAAGATAGCTGTCTGTTTCATGGTGAGAAGCCTTCAGAGAATGTCTTGTTCATTTAATTAACATCAGAGTCCTTTCACATAGCTTTCTCTCCTGGAGGGTGCTGTCACAAATTCATAGCCCCTCATAAGATGTCTTCCTTTTTAAGGTGTTACATCCAAATATGTGGGGATGCTCTTGGGAGGGGAGAGCTAAGAAAAGGGTGGTGTGGAGGTGAAATGGCACCATTTTCTGCTCTTTGATAACTGTTCATTTAAAACATGATTTTCAAAGTGTCCTAAACATTTCATCTCTATAATTAGCTCACCAGAGTTAAGGCCAAACAGTATAATGTGCAGTAGTAGCAAATTTAGCAAATGAAGAAAACTCGCACAAAAAAAGAAGAAAAGAAAAAGAAAACTCACAACACCCTGTGAGTTATATAGCAAAAAGCATAAATTACTATGACCTATGGTTCCATAGAATTCAGAAAGATACCTTGTTCAAGGTTACACTTAATAAACTTTCAAAAGTTTTAAAACAAGAGCAGGAAGGAGAAGAGGTAATAATCAGTGTTTGAAGGAAAAGGTTGGTTAGTCTTTCATTAACTTCATTTAACTCTATTTTACCTCCCCAACCCCAAGGATAATAGATTGGTACTCAATTTTCTTTATACTAGTCTAACTTCCTCTTATATATACTTTTAAGTCTTTGGGAGAAATTTTTATATTACCAATTGCAAGCTTTGAGAGAAGGAACTAACTACATTATTTTGTATCTCCCTCTCCAGTGCCTGAAATTCTAAACAGTAAAGCCTGACCTTTTTTTTTTTTTTTTTTTTTTTTTTTTTTTTCTTCCAGAACTCAGAGATAGCCATTGTCAAGTGGAACAGCTCCCTGGGCTCTTCTCAACGGGTATGAGAAGCACCAGGGATGTGCTAATGCCAGGTATGGAATGAGCTCTCCCTTCCTGAAAAAAAAAAAAAAATCACTTTGCCAGAAAGTTTTTACTTTTGAAAGATGCCTATCTCTCCCATTCCTAGCTCAGATCTCAAATACCCTATTTTAAAATATATATTTTATTGATTTTATACAGCAAGGAAGGGAGAGGGATAGAGAGTTAGAAACATCGAAGAGAGAGAAACATCGATCAGAGAGAAACATCGATCAGCTGCCTCCTGCACACCCCCTACTGGGGATGTGCCTGCAACCAAGGTACATGCCCTTGACCGGAATCGAACCTGGGACCCTTCAGTCCACAGGCCGACGCTCTATCCACTGAGCTAAACCGGTTAGGGCTCAAATACCCTATTTTAAAGATACGTATTCCCCCAAAAGGCTTTCTGGAAACCAATATTTTAAAATATATTTTATTGATTTTTTTACAGAGAGGAAGGGAGAGGGATAGAGAGTTAGAAACATCGATCAGAGAGAAACATCGATCAGCTGCCTCCTGCACACCCCCTACTGGGGATGAGTCCGCAACCAAGGTACATGCCCTTGACCGGAATCGAACCTGGGACCCTTCAGTCCACAGGCCGACGCTCTATCCACTGAGCCAAACCAGTTAGGGCTGGAAACCAATTTTTGAATTAACTCTTATTAGCTAAGGCATGGCTATATAAATCAAAAAAGGGGGTGAAGAAAGAGAAGGAGGCAGTACTCAACCCTCTCTGCATTAGAGAAGACAATCTATGAGCATTTCTCTGGGCTGAAATTACTGCAGTTACCTATCTTCATGGGATTCATGGTAGGAAGAAAGAAAGGCAGGTTTGTATATTAAGTACCATAAGCACATACTAAGGAAAAAATCAACTAAAAAGAGACAAAAATACAGCAGTGGAGTTTAACGAGTCAATACAGTAGTTCAGCCATTCAGATTAAGAACCAGCTTCCTGTCCAGGCAGTGTGGTTCAGTGGTTGAGTGTCGACCCAAGAACTGGGAGGTCACAGTTTGATTCCCCATCAGGGCACATACCTGGACTGGGTGCTCAATTCCCAGTGAGGAGCGTGCAGAAGGCAGCTGATCGATGATTCTCTCTCATCATTAATGTTTCTATCTCTCCCTCTCCCTTCTGTTCTGAAAGCAATAAATATATGCCAGCTTCCTTTATTCTCTTTGGCTGATCTCTTTGCAGAAGCTCAAGCAGAAGACAACAGGTCCACCTTCGTCCAAATTCTGACTGTGGCTACCCTGCAGTGCCTTGCCTCTGGGAGCAAAGTAAAAGTCAGCCTTGAATATTCAGAGAAAAGGCCAAAGGTCAAGCATACTCTAAAGAACCTGAGAGTTATTGCTGCTCCCCATAGAAACAGCACTGCTTTCCCAAGCTGTCACCTAACCCCCACATCCAACTTTCAGAATGGATCTCTTCTAACAGGCAAAGGTGAGATTGGAACATGAGGTGAAGGTAGGCATGACTTTTACTTATAACCCTGAATGCAGGTAGAGCTTAGTAGCAGCTAATACCTCAAGGAAATGGATTATCCTCTCCTTTGGAAATCTATGTCCTCTCTGAGACTCAGTTTTCTAATCTCTAAGGGCCCTTCTAGTCCTGACATGCGGCAATTTTCACATGCTCTCATTTCTGATGGGTCGTCTTTCACAATGGTTATTTGATTTTGATTTACTCTGAATGCACATAGTAAAATGTTCAAACAACACAGGTTTCCAGTGAAAAGTAAATCTCCCTTGTTCTACTCCCTCAGTCCTCCAGTACTCTATCCCTGAGGGAAACCCTATTAACAACTTACTGAGTTTCCTTCCAGAGATATTCTAAGCATGTATGGATGTATATATTTTAAACACATAAATAGTAGCATATCATATACACTATTCAATACCTTGCTTTTTTCCACTTAACAATGTATCGTATAGGTTGTTCCATATCAATATGTATAAACTAGAGGCCCAGTGCATGAAATTTGTGCATGGGTGGGGTCCCTCGGGGTGGCCTGCGAAGATCAGGCCCTAGCTCGCGTCCCCAGCCTCACAGCCCTGTCTGGCACCCTGCCTTGGCCTGGTGCCAGCCGCTCACCTGCTCCACCATCCCGCCGTGGTCCCGCTCTCATCGGGGCCCATTGTGGCCAGCAGCACCTCCACTGTAGCCCACTGCCAGCACCGCTATGCCCGCCATGTTCCACACCACCCCCTGTTGGTCAGCGCGCATCAGCGAGTGGTCAAACTCCAGGTCGGTCAAACTCCCGCCCGAGGGGACAATTTGCATATTAGGCTTTTATTATATAGGATATGTCTTATTCCTTGTAACTGTTGTACAGTATTACATTTTATGGCTATACTATCACCAGTTCCCTATGGATGGATATTTTGGTTGTTTCCAAACTCTTGCAAATACAAACAATGCTGCAAGCAATAATCTTATACATTCTTCTTTGTGTGCCTACAATTTATCAATAGGATAAATTCCAAGCAGGGTTGCTGTATCAAAGTTTAATAGATTTTGCTAAGTTACCCTCCACGGTGGTTGTTCGGTTTTTCACTTCCACACACATTGAGGGTGCCTGTTCCCCCACAGTTGCTGAGCAATGGCTCTTGACATCTGCCTTAAGTTTCTCTGCTTCTGTCCTTCCTTCCTTCTCCCACCATTCTTTCTGTCAACTAGTTTATGATCTATACATTAGTATTGGCAGTTCCCCCTACATACAGGCAATTCCCTAGAAGCTACTGTTGCACTGCTGGAAAAAATTAAATAAAACTTGACACTTTTAGAGAAACTGAGGGTTCACCAGCAGAATAATGGGGGGAAAACTTTTAAAACTACCATCTGTTTAGAGGACTAGAAATTGGGAAATAAGTGGATAGGTTCTTGGGATGTGGCCCAGTTATAGTAAATTATAAATCCTCACATGACATGAATGTTTTCATTCCTTTATTATACTTTCTAAAGTTCACATGGTAATCACTTTGTGTGAAGAAAAAAAACAACACAAAAAACTCTTAAAAACTTAAAAGCCTCTCACAGTATTTGGGGGATTTCAGTCATTCAGTGTTAAAGCAAATTAATTCAACCAGATTGTTCTCTTTCTAACATGTGACACCCCCACCCTATGAGTCAATGATAAGTGTGATGGGGAACAGTGAACTTAAGTTATTTTGGAGTCTAGAGCACTTTGTACAGGGTGAATCTTTCTTGGATATAATGCTATGCAGTGTTGGACTCAGAGCAATTAAGACACTAGCTTTTAGAGATTTGGGACAGGGAAAACTGGGAGATTAAGAGGAGAGATGCCAATGATCAACCTGCCCTAATTCAGCAATTTGCTTTGGGCTAGCCTAGAGTCCAGGGAAGGAGGAAAAGTTTAAGCCAGCGATTTTCAATGGGTGTGCTGCAAGAATTTTTAAGACATGCAATACCTGATTTTTAGTCAGGGGCACTGGCCTGTTTCCCTTAGATTGTTAAATTAAAAAATAGCTGTCCAGTGTGGCTGAATAAAAAATTATACCTATTTATTTTTGTCAGATCAGCAAAAAAAAAATCTTTTTGGGGTGTTCCCTGGAATTTTAGTAGTTTCTGTGTGCCATGAGATGGAAAAGGTTGAAAATAGCTGGTTTAAGCTAATACCCTTACTATTTGAGCTGTGCAAAGAAAGTAAATGGATATTTGCAGGTTAGTTTGGGGATCTAATCATCAGTCAAGATACATTTCTTGAACAATGATGAATTGCAGACACCCAATTTATGAGTGGAATTTTGAAATATTGCCCCATTTGTGAGTATGAAACTGCCTATTCTGAATTCAAACTTACACTGAGTGCCAGGAAGTGACACACTCCAAGTACAGTAGAAATAAGGTACATGGTCAAATTTATAAGGTCATAGAAGAGATGCCCACTATAGACGACATCAGTCTACACAGGAGAATGTCCCAGAAACAGAAGTCAGTACGTGGAAATGTTCCCAGAGCAAAGTAGGAATCTGAAATTGTAAGGCTGAGAATGGACTGCAACACAGTTGGTCATCAGAAGATGTGCGTTGACATGCAATCTAGAAAAATGTAAGATGGCGACTATTTGTTACTGTTTATGGAATTTGGCCAAGGAAAAGATCCTCTATTATAAATATTCTGATAATTCTTTCTGATGAGAGAGGACTCGTAGGTCTTTATCACGTCTGATAAGGTTTACACCATCTAGTTCCTATTCCTCAGATTCTACATTAATCAAGAAACTTTCCAATTATGCATTAGGTTTCACAAGAACCTGTAGGTTTAGAAAAGGGTATCTAGAAGAGAAAAACATCATATCTGATCCATTTGACAGACACATTCTCCTATGTAAATATTTTTAATGTCATTTTAGTATATAGATTAGGTTCCTGGGAATTTGACTGGTGTGAACTAATTCCTATGGTCTGTTTACCCCATGTGAAACTGTGAGTAAAGGAGAAATATTACACAAATGTTTATTCTGATATTAATGATCACCTTTGACAAGTTACTTAATTTCTCCAGTGCTGTTTCTATAGGTCAGTGATGGCGAACCTATGACCCACGTGTCAGAGGGGACAGGCGAATTCATTTTTTTGGTTGATTTTTCTTTGTTAAATGGCATTTAAACATATAAAATAAATATCAAAAATATAAGTCTTTGTTTTACTATGGTTGCAAATATCAAAAAATTTCTATATGTGACACGGCACCAGAGTTAACTTAGGGTTTTTCAAAATGCTGACAAGCCGAGCTCAAAAGGTTCGCCATCACTGCTATAGGTACAAATGAGGGGTTTGACTACATGGTCTGATTTCTATAAATGTACAGCTGAGGTTTAGATCCGAAGCACAAACCCAATAGCCCTTTCAACCTGCTAGTATTATTACAGAATAGGCTCTGAAAGAGACTTCCATTTAAATACAATGCACCTAATGTTCCCTTTTTAAAATAAGTTATTTTTTAAGAAAGCAAAGCATCATCTCCTAAATCATCCATTTCATAAATTTGGATTTTTGTTTCTCTCATTAAAGTGGGGCATTCATGCCCAAATATCCTTAGCCAAAGAAAAGCTAATATTGCAATTCCATCATCACTGGGAATGGAGAGCTGTATTTACAAATGTGCTCCACCTTAATGCTGTTACCTAGCAGATGAGATCTACTACTAGAGATGAACTGCCAACATGGATGGGCATTAATTCAGAAACTAGGCAGAAATAAAAATACACTGACAGATGAAGAAGCCTATGAAGTAGACTTTGCAACAGTGGCCCCGGAAGGTGGGGAGACATGCTATAGTGAAATACCATTATCCCTATGGTTAGAGGGCACAGTTCTACTTAGAGGATCTCTAGGTTTTTCCTCCTCCTCCAATCATAATATCATTCAGTGTGCAGAGTGTTTTCACCTGCTTTCTCATCTTCACATCACCCCAATGAAATAGGTAGATCAAGAATTATCCTTTATAATAAAGAGCTAATGTGCTAATTAGACTGAACAGCAGAACGACCATCCGGGGCTGCAAGGGCCGGGCCCCTTGCATGAATTTCGTCCATTGGGCCTCTAGTTTTATTATAACCATCTTACAGACAAGGAGACCAAAACTCAGAGAACTTAGGTGACTTGTCCAAAGTGAGATTTGCTTATCTTCAGCTCATCAGTCTCATAAAACATATGTTATCACTTCAGAGACCTGACTGGCACTATGCTGAAAATACTTCACATAATTTCCTTGTTTTTTTCTTTTGAAACTGTGGCTCTTTGTCTCTGTCTTTGCTAACACTGTCTTCCTGATTAAAATGAAATCAAGGATGAGCCCTTACCCTGTAATTTCATGTACAGTGTCTGGTACTGTGGCCACTGGCCTCTGAAGTAAGGAACTATCATTTTCACATGGACTTAATCAAGACATGGGAGAGTAATTTAGAAACATCAAGTAGGACTTACAGACCTCAATTTAATAAGCAATGATAAGAGACCATTCAAAATGGAATAGGAACCACTGTCTGAATTGGATTAGGTCAATTCTGGAGGCAAGTGAAGTTCATTCCAGACTACAGCCAGAATTTGTCTGCATCATCTCATCACTTCCACAGTTGGTCTGAGTCACCATCATCACTCATTGGATTTCTGCAATAGCCCCCTAACAGGTGATTCTGCTTCTACCCTTGCCCTGCTACAGTCTCTTTCAGTGATCCTTTAAAAAATAAAACCATCATATCATTCCTCTGCTCAAAACCTTGTAATGGATCCCCATTTCTTTTTTAAAAAATATGTTTCTATTGACCTGAGAGAGAGAGGCAGGGAGAAGGAGAGAGAGAGAGAGAATCATCAATTGGTTGCCTCCCCAAAGCACTCAACCAAGGATCAAACCCAGGTATGTGCCCTGACCAGGAATCCAACCCAGTGACCTTTCAGAGCACAGGATGGGACACACTCAACCACCTGAGCCACACCGGGCAGGACTGGATCCCCATTTCAATCAGAGTAAAAACCAAAGTCCTTAAACTGGCCTACAAGGCCCTCAGTGATATGGGCCCATTTCCTTCAGTGGTTCGCAACCTTGGCTGCACATTAGAATCACCTGGGAATCTTTTTAAAATCCTGATTTCTGGGCCTCATCCTCCGGAAATTGTTTCTTTGTTACTAATGTTGTGGCCTCACCCCATAACAAAGAAACAGAATTTCCGGAGGATGAGGCCCAGAAATCAGGATTTTAAAAAGATTCCCAGGTGATTCTAATGTGCAGCCAAGGTTGAGAACCACTGCTTTAGATCCTTATCTCCTACTCCTGCCCCCTTGGTCACTCTACTCCAATCTCACTGGCCTCCTCGCTTGTCCTCTAAAACTGTAACATGCCAGACATCTCTGCCTATACTCTAGCTCTCGCCTCTGCCTAGGTCACTACAACAGGTCCTTGAATAACATCATTTTGTTATAACATTGATGGGAAAAAAATTGATTTCCACTAGGGCAGTGATGGCGAACCTATGACACGCGAACTCATTTTTTTGGTTGATTTTTCTTTGTTAAATGGCATTTAAATATATAAAATAAATATCAAAAATATAAGTCTTTGTTTTACTATGGTTGCAAATATCAAAAAATTTCTATATGTGACACGGCACCAGAGTTAAGTTAGGGTTTTTCAAAATGCTGACACGCCGAGCTCAAAAGGTTCGCCATCACTGCACTAAGGCCACTGTCTGTGTGGAGTTTACATGTTCTCCCCAGTCTGCAAGGGTTTCCCTCCGTACACTAGTTTCCTCTCACACCCCAAAGACGTGCATATTTTACGTGACTTGGTGTATCTACATTGCTCTAGTCTCCATGTGGGTGTATGTGAGGGTGCCCTGAAGTGGAAGGGCTCCCTGTCCAGGGGTTTCCCCGCTGAGTTGCTGGGATAGGCTCTGGCCACCCTCAACCCTGAACTGGCATAAGCAGCTTAGAAAAGAATTATCTTGCTTTTTTAAAATTAATATTTATTAAATATATGTATAGTTCACATTTATTTCAAAGTTTATTAGAAGTGTTTGGGGTCTTTAGAAATTTGGTGATGTTTTTTTGATCAGAAATATGCTGTAGGAACCCAATTCTTGTTTATATCAGTTAGCCTATGGGACAACTGGTTTTGTTATATGTCATTTCGCCTTAAAGTCACAGTTTCCAAACCTAGCGACAACGTTAGTGAGGATTTACTATACCTTCCAGGTATCTGCATGGCTATTCCCCTCACCTCCTTCAAGTCTTGGCTCAATTCTCACCTTCTCAATGAAACCAGCCTACACTGCATGTTGCCAAACCACTGCCCACCTGCACCGCATCCCTAGACTGCTCCCTTACTTTCCTCAACTTTTTAAAATATTATTTTTATTTTGTTATTGATTTAAGATAGGAAGGGAGAGGAAGAGGGAGAGCGAGATAGAAACATCAATGATGAGAGAGAATCATTGATCGGCTGTCTCCTGCATGCCCCACACTGGGGATGGAGCCCGAAACCTGGGCATGTGCCCTGACCATGAACCGAACAGTGACCTCCTGGTTCATAGGTCAATGCTCAGCCACTGAGCCATGCCAGCTGGGCACCTTCCTCTACTTTAATTTTTTTTCTTTGTAGCACATACCATAAAATTTACTCTATTTATTGTGGTCTGCTTCCCCCTCCTCCCCTCAACCCTTTCTCTCCTTTACTCCTTCCCTGGCTAGAATGCATCCAACTGATATATCCAAAGTAATGAAGTAGTCTCTGGCACATAATAGATACAGGATTCATTTTTAATTATTTGCAGAATGAATGAAATTGAGGAGTGCATGTAGCTGGGTGGTCTTTCCTTCTTCTTCCAACTCCTTTGGCTTTCCCCGATCCCCTCTCAGAGTAGTTGACTTACACTCCACCAGACAAACTTGCAGCAGTCATTAAGGTAAATGATAATATTTCATGCTCCTCCTTGGACTTTGGAGCCACCTTTTTAAAAGATGGAAACTTTGAACAGTGTTACGCCCTCCATCCTTATTATTATTATGGCCTTAAGAATGATAGGCAAACAAGATATGGTCTACTCCTCCGCTTTGATCCTACATTAGTCAAAGGCCTCCTGGGGATTTTAATCCATATCTCTTATTAGTATCTCTATTCTCATTTACTCTTGGCATTATTTGGAGCTTACACCCTAAACCTATGGACAGGTCAATGGGGCCACAGTGAGAAGTTTAGTATCATCTTGGGTAGAGCTAGGGTCTTTTGTCAGATAAAATCAAATGCAGGATAAAGTTTTCTCAGTTGTCCTTTCATTCTTTCTTTTCTTATAGCTTTTTTACCAGGGATCTTCCAATGTAAGGTCTACCCAGCAATGAGGACTTCATTAGAGGCTTTTCCCACCACTACCACCTCCATAACTCCAGGGAATAAAGAAGGAGAGAAAACTACAAGTATTGATGATTTTTCTACCCCTTTGAAACAACAAGGTACAGAATAAGTAATGGTGAGATAAGAACAGAAAGAAAAACATTTTTAAGCCCAACATTAGCCTGGGTCTCCTAGGATTTTCCTGGAGGTTGAGAAGTTACACAGAGTTTCTATTAGAAAAACCACTCCATTTCTTGTGGAAAAAAATCAGTTTCTCTATAAAGAAGGTCCCAGAAATGTTTGTAGTTTGACACTAGAGACATGTGCTGCATAACATTTTGGTCTATGATGGACCTACTGTATATATAGTATAGTACATAATACTTGATAATAATAAATGACTGTTACTGTTTTATGTATTTACTATTCTACACTTTTTTTTATCATTGCTTTAGAGTGTACTCTTTCTATTTGAAAGAAAAGTTTGCTGTAAGACAGTATGTTGTGTTAAGCCAGCAGCAGCCTCATACATCCTGTGTTTACTGTCTCTTGATTATACCCTTTTCTCTTGTGCTTGATTTAACCTCAGGTTGTTTTATAAATTTTGTGTAGCTTAAATGTACAGTGTTGTATCAAGTCTACAGTAGTGTACAGTAATGTCCTAGATCTTCACATTCACTCACCCACTCACTCACTGACTCACCCAGAGCAACTTCCAGATGTGCAAGCTCCATTCATGGTAAGTGCCCTGTATAGATATACCATTTTTTATCTTTTACACTGTATTTTTACTGTACCTTTTCTATACACAAATACCAATGTGCTACAATTGCCTACAGTATTCAATACAGTAACATGCTGTAGAGGAGCAATACACTATACCATATAGCCTAGGAGTGTAGTAGGCTACACCATCTAGATAGTGTAAGTGCACTCTCTCATTTTTGCTCAGTGATGGAATTGCCTAATGATGCATTTCTCAGAATGTATCCCGGTTGTTAAGGGGCATATGACTGTATTAATAGTGCTTTACCTCAACACCAATGAGCTAATCTTGCAGCCAGATTTGGGGACAGAATGAAATGTATTTATGTGGTAGGCAATACCAGCCACTGCATGTATAGACAGGCGACATTTACACACTGAGCAATTATTATAGTGATGGCAACAACCAAGTGCATGTTTCATCTGCACGGTTTTTGGAAATGACCTTCCCTAAATTGGCCAGAACTCAAATTCTGTAAGATTCTGGCTTGGGTTACATCCTAGTTCCTACCGGGAGAAAAATAAATATGAGACTAGTAATAACAAGATGCATATAAGCCATTTGTCCCCAAATTTGACTTATGACCTAGGAGCAATGCCAACTCACCTTTGTTCCTCCTATGCCCCACTAAAGCCACGAGGAGCAAAGAGGGTGATTTTCTAGGTAGAGACCCTGAGAGGGCTGCTGGTGAAAGAAGAGTTTAGAACTCCTTGGGCACTCCCACCCCTTTTCCTCTCTTGAGAGCAGTGCAAGAATGGGTCCTACTTGATCATGGAAAAATCCCAAATCCCAGGGAAGGTGACTCTCTGAGATTAGAGCAGAGCCCATGATGCCCATCCCACTCCTGACTCTAAGTCTGAACTGGAAACTGGGCCTCCGCCTCTGAATCTAGCTGGACCCCTCTTAGTCAGGTGAGCCAAGAGTCCTTCAAATCAGAGGGTTGATCTCTTCCCTCTCTCAAATTCTCTTTCTCCCTCTTCTACTCCTCTCTCTCCTTTTAGACACAGATGAAAATCTAGAGAAGAGGCAGAAATGGAGCATTGTGGTCAAATTTCTGATTGCTGGCACTCTGTTGTTCAGTGGAATCGCTATTACAGTGTTTGTCATTTTTGAAGTTCCATGTCCTGTAAGTTTGCTGATGTATTGGGTCCTTGGGCTTGATCTATAAAAATCTCCTTTTCCAGAGGCAGGTTGGCATAATAAGAAAAACATCCTGTAGACTTTGGAGTTTGGACAGACCTACCACTCACACTCACTTGAGTGGCTTTGAGAAAGTTGCTTGACTTGTCCAACCTCAGTAGTCTCATCTTTAAAATGGGACTAATGATATTTGCCTCTTATGGTGGTTATGAAGGTTAATTGAGATCCTGTGTGACAGGTGCCTGGCACATAGGAGGTCCTTGCTAAATGTGAGTTCCTTTCCTTTGCTGTACTTGTACATTCTCTAGAGAGGATAGAACCAATAGGACAGAATAGTTTCTTTAGAAGAGATAATTTTCTTTAAATGGCCCAACATGAGGTTTGGAAGATAGATAATCAAATGCATACCAGCCACCTAAAGTTAATACCAGTCATTTTTCTCCCCTCAGTGTCAATGCCTAAGAACCAGAGAACTATGCCAATGCCGGCGATTGTGGGGAAGGCAAAGGAAGGAAGGCCAACAACCTGAGGCAGCTGAACCCCAGCCTCACTCTCAGCCAGAGAAGGAAAGTGTCCTCTGTATGGTTTGTGCATTTGCTTGGAGAAAATGGGGCTAACCTATAAGTGCTGGGAGACAGGAAGCTGCTTCTGTTACGAAGCAAATGTGGTTAATTGTTTTATGTGTCAGGAAATAGGTAGGTATTTGTACTGCTATTTTCTTACCATTAGCCCAGCCATAACACAGTAGGGTACATACTGAAAATGCAGATTCCTGGGCCCCAGATATAATGAATCAGCAGAATGAATCAGGAATTTTTAACATGCTCCCTATGTAGAGGTGAATTTACTGTGAAATTAATGATGCTTAAGCAGGAACCATGGGACCTTGTATCCAATTTTGTATTTTAAAAAGTATATCATTTTTCTTTTTTTATAGAGGTGAATTTACTGTGAAATTAATGATGCTTAAGCTTCAGGAACCATGGGACCTTGTATCCAATTTTGAATTTTAAAAAGTATATCATTTTTCTTTTTTTTAAATGTTTTATTGATTTCATTTTTTGTTGTTGTTAATCCTCACCTGAGGAAATTTTTTCCATTGACTTTTATAGAGAGTGGAAGGAAAGGGGAGAGACAGAAAGAGAGAAACATTGATGTGAGAGAGACACATCAATTGGTTGCTTCCTACATGCACCCTGACCAGACCAGGGGATGGAGCCTACAACCGAGGTACGTGCCCTTGACTGGAGTCGAACCCCAGACCCTTCAGTCTGAGGGCTGGCGTTCTATCCACTGAGCCAAACCGTCTAGGGCTTTATTAATTTCAGAGAGAGGAAGAGAGAAATAGAAATATCAATCATTAGAGAGAATCATCTATCAGTATGCCCCTTACTGGGATGGATCTCGCAACCCATGCATGTGCCCTGACTGGGAATCAAACTGTGACCTCCTGGCTCATGGGTTAAAGCTCAGTCACTGAGCCACTCCTGCTAGGCTGTTTTCTTTTTCTTAAGAAAAGCTCCCCCAAACCCATAAGAGCTTCAGAGACCACAACTATGTGTCCATCCCTGCCCTTAGGTAACTCTTACATACACCAAAGTTTAGGAACTGCTACACTTGAACACAGTTTGATTTTCGGCAAAACAGCTTTTTCCCTCCATACCCTTGGGTTTCCTAACAAGATTATAAATTCATATTCCCCTTTAGTGTCTAAAACGGACACTACCTGACTGGTTCAGCTCAGCTGCTTTAAATCCAATTTCCCCATGAAGAGTGGATTCAGCCTTTGAATATAAGAAATTGATGGGCACCTTCTCTACAACAACTACAAGACAAAGAGACTAGGTCTCCAATACTTTCTAAATTAAAAATGGTACCCACTTTTGTAGAATTACAGCATTAAGAATGGGTCTCAAAGATTAAGTGTCCAGGATGGTACACATGCTGCTACCCTTTAATTCTGTGTTGGCTGCACATATCAATAATCAACCATAGTGCAACTAGAAGATGAATAAGTTCTGGAAATTTAATGCGTAGAATAGTGAGTACAGTCAACAATACTGTATTATGTTCTTCAAAATTGCTAAGAGACTAGATCTTAAATGTTCTCACCACAAAAAAGAAAAGATAATTATGTTCCGTGATAGAGGTGTTAGCTAAAGCTACAGTAGTAATCATATTACAATATATATAAATATGTCAAATCAACACATTGTACACCTTAAACTTACACAATGTTATATGTCAATTATATCTCAATTTTTAAGAAATCAAGCACAGCACTCTTTCCACCCAGGAATGGTATCAGAATCTTTCTTATCACATTGCATCAGATACTCAATGCCAACTTATTTGTTATCTCTGGTTTAGGTTAATATTTTTCATAATTTTGTTTCTTCTAATATTTGATGATGAGCTCATGTAAATTAGTATGATTTTATCATCTGGTGTATTTTTAGTTCTTTACTCCAATCTACATTATCATTTCTACTGAATATTGGAAAAAACTGGTCTGAAGGGGACTATAAAGTTTAGTTTAGAATTACAGGAAACCATGAAGCAGCAACTCTGAATTTTTCCCATGAACAAAATAAGCTGCTAAATAATAAAGAAATTAATAAAAATAGTAATAAGTAATTTTATACAAATTGCCTTATTTGAGCCACACAGAAATCATGGGAGGGAGCTAGGGCAGAAATATACATTTTTATTGATACTTACACTGAGGCCCAGAGAGGTTATGTGATGTTGCCAAGGTCACACAGGTGGTAGAAACAGAACTGAAGTCTAGATCTTTTCATTCCTATACTGGATTTACTGGCTTATTCATCCATTCCATAAAATTTTACCGAAAGTGCCAATTTAACTGCTGTGTGCCAAGTTCCCGCCTTCCAGAGGCTTACAGTCTATGTTCATAACAGGTTAGCATTTAGAAAGTACATACAAAATCAGATGGGGCATGGAGTCAGGTGTAGTGAGAATGGAAAAGGATTAGTAAAAAATATTTGGTCCACTTAGACCTAGGTCTCTGCTGCTTTTCCAACAGAGTGAGATTGTTTGGGCCTGATTCAAGGAATGAAGTAGAATTGTTGTGCACCTGGGATCCAAAGTAGCTGCAGACCCAGGGCCTTTCCATCCAAGGCAAATAGGTCAAGTAAGGGGTAGATGGGGCTCTTTGCTGGTAGGTTATAGGGTCCAACAAATTGTAGGTTTTCATACTAACTGTACCTTGCAGATACTTTCTCTGTGTAAGCACAATAACTTTCCCTAGAATTATTGGGAAGCAAAGAGGAAAAATGATGAGTACTTGGAATTATACAGGGTTTTGTACTTAGCTATTTTTTGGCGGTACATTAAAAAATACCCATTTGCATCCTTCTTTATCTTTCCTATTTTCTTTCGATCTCTAGGTTGGACAAAATGCTCCCAACTCAAACTCAACGAAAGCTGCCGAGATCACTGTTATCCACCAGACATACTTCTGAGAAGTTCTGCTCTGTCTCACACACTGCATGATGGATACTATACTGTCTTCTCACTATTATTAATCAAGATGGGCAGATTCTTGCCATTTCTGCACTCGTATCTTCAGCAGGAACATTGCAATCAATCAGTAATGCCAGGCCAATGAAGGGGGAGCCTGGGCTTATCAATCAATTACCCTCATGCCACTGGTACTGACTGAGTCACAAGCCTCTGAGATTCACTTTGTACTTCCACAAAAAGTGGGTATCTTCTCATCCCATCAAATGAAAACAGAAAGTCTTCCCTAAAAGGTTTAAACACAGCCTCCAAGGAATGGCGAAGAGCAGCCACAAGTGTGGCACAGTTCACCAACTCCTCTGTTATCTTCACGGCTGACTTCATGCTCACTGACTCTCAACTGGCTTAGGGTGGTGGTCCTGTTTTCCCAAGGTCTTATGATTGAGCCTCTGCCACCACAAGTAGCTATGAACACACTGATGAAGGGAATGTGAATTTAAGCATTCCAAGGTGCTTAGAGACTGCATATCATAGGACCCAGATGAGGTCTCCTGATAATCCAGAGTTCCTAAAGTGGCCCTGATATTGTACCCTACCATAGAGTGAGCAGTGTACATTCTGAATAAGGTCACGAGAGAAAAATGATTATCATAATCATTCTCAAGGAGGTACAGCTATAAGTCAAGTCTGACCTGCTTAAGTAAGAGTTTGGAAAGAAAGTGGAAAGAGATTATGCTAAAGCAGGATTTAGGTAAAAAGGGAATGGTGGGGGCAGATAAAACTGTTACCCTGCCTTTTTTCATAAAAGGCTGAAACCATTCTATTTTGTTGTGGTGAAATGTGCCTGTTTCTAAATAATTCTGTTTTCTTAGTTCTCTGATAAAAACCATATACTAATTGTAGTTTTCTTTTACTTCAAGTATTGTCCAAAAAATAATGATTCTCAAAACTGTACCAACAGAGGAATATATCTTGCCATAAACCCTGAATTAATATTCAAGCAAGTCTAGAAGAGCTGGAACAGAAATAAAGCATAGATGATGGTAGTTTTCAAGGAAGCCGTAGAGACCCTCTAGGCATCCTAAAGTACTGGAGCCTTGAAAATATAGCAGGTGAAGACAACAGAGCACTGGGGCTTGCACTTGAATAAATGAGTATATGATTTGCACACTTCCACTGATTCACATCACCTCCAGTTTATCCTGCAACCTGTGGTTCAGTCTGACCATGAAATAGGAAAAACAAAACAAACAAACAAAAACTTGTTCCTTCCCAAGACCATGAGGGAGGATGATAAGAAGCATTCTATACTTAGAAGCTCTTGGTCTAGAATTGATGCCTACATTCATCCCCACCCTCCCAGCCTCATCCACCACAGATGTCCTTTAATCCAGAAACATGAGATTCATCAGGAGATGAAATCTGGGGCAAAGTCTATACCCATTAATGCTTCTGCAAGAGTAAAATCTGAATAACATTTATAGTGACTTTCTTTAAAGAAATTCACAGATGGGATCAAAATCATTTATTTTGCTTTAGGAACAACTTGTTTCCCCTGACAAAGCAAGGCCCCTCTGAGGATTTTCTGATTCCCTAATCAGTAATCATTTAGAATCCCCATATTCTCTTAACAGAGGAGATCTTTGAAAACTAAAAAATGGATGAGAGAAATAGCAAAAGGGAGGGGAGCTTGGGATGGGCACCTCAGTCTGCAAATCACTTCAGAGCAGGACACAATTCTCCCTGTCACCACTATAGAGTAGGCTATAGTCTCAACTTGATAAAACACTCTTTGTGTGTCGTGCCAATTATTCCTCTGGGAAGTGACTAGTTGGCAAGATTTTTATTTCAAGTTCTTTCTCATTAAGTTACCACCCTTTGTTTTTCAATTATTAAAGTACATTATCATTACAACAATATTTAGAAAATACTGGAAAATCTAAAAGTAAAAATATTATAACTAATCCTTCCTCCCAGAGATAACCACTGTTAATACTTTGATGTACCTCTTTATAGACATTAAATATATATATGTGTGTGTGTACACACACACACACACACACACACACACACATATCCTTATACAAAAAAAGACACATGTTACACAAATAAGATCATACTCTTCATACCATTTTAAAGTTGCCATCTCTTTTTTGGTTAGCATATTACTGCTATATTCCAGTCAAGTCTTAGAAAGGACTAGAAGTCATTCCACCTTTTCTAAGGGTCTAAATCACCCCAATAATTTTTTTTTTAATCCTCACCAGAGGATATGTTTTTCATTGATTCTGGAGAGAGTGGAATGGAGAGAGAGAGAGAAAGAGAGAAAGAGAGAAACATCAATGTGAAAAAGATACATACATTGACGAGTTGCCTCCTGGACATGCCCTGACTGGGGACTGAACCCAAAACCTGGGTATGTGCCCTGACCAGGAATTGAACCCACAACCCTAACCAACTGAGCCACACCAGCCAGGGCACCACAATACTTTTTGATAGATGCAATGATTACGGTAGGAAGTTGCTTAGGGCAGAGAAGGCACATTAACAGAAACTTCCAATTTAAACTTTTGAAGGTATTGCTGAATGACATTAATAGTTGTATGTGTATGTGTGTTAAAGCATGACTTATTCAATATAAACTTAAAATATACAATTTTATATATTTTGCCATTTCTTCATTTTTTAGATACACCTGTGTTCTCAAAAAATCAACATGACCCAGGACCAGGCCATTAAGGTCCCTTCTTTTCTGTACACCCAGGCTAGTGCAAGAGGTTACTAATCACAGAGGGACTTAAAAGGTGGCTCTAGCCCTAATTGTTCTTCCCCTTCTCCCATCTTGGTTTTGAGCCCCTTTAAGCACCCTCCAGCAGATTCTGACCTAGAGCACTTTTCCTATGTGTACGCCCAGAACTAGCCATTTTCCAAGGAAGACTTGCTATATGTACTTATGGCTAGGGGCTAGGAACCCTTCTTTTTTTTTTTTTTTGTCCTGCTCAGGTTGACAGTCTTATGGCTCCTCCTCCCCTCACACTCTGATCCTCCACACCTCCTCTCCCACTCTCAGAAAGGATTTCATTTTAGAGTTCATACAATGGCCCCCATGTTGCCTTTAGTTGCCATTTATCTTTTTATATACTAGTATACTTCCTAGTTTGTATCCTTGGAGGTTGTAGTGTATTTTCTACATCTACATTTGTATACCTCTATATTACTCTGTAGCCAACAAAGCACTATGTTCATAGTAGACATTCAGAAAATGTTGGTAACATCATACTACTAAATGGATAGCTGAGGATATCATACCTGGTTTTCTAGGAGAAAATGAAGTAACTTTTATTTTACATCAAAGCTGCTATTGGTTAACCAGGTGGATGCAAATCAATGAAAGGCCATCCTGTAATTGTTGGTAACACTTGAATTCATCTCTCTAGACTTACATGCTTTTCTCTCTCAGATATTTTAAATGTTTTATTTTTAATTTTTAATCCTCACCCGAGGATATGTTTTATTGACTTTAGAGAGGAAGGGGGAGACAGAGAGAGACACATCAATCAGTTGCCTCCTACACGCACTGACTAGGGATCGAACTTGCAAACTTTTGGGTACGAAATGATGCTTCAGCCAACTGAACCACCCAGCTTGGGCTTCTCTCATATTTCTTTATCTCATCTTTCTCTTCTTGCTCTGTATTCTAACACTTTCCCTTTCCTTCTTTTTCTTTCCCTTATTCAGTGACCTGACTTGCCAGTCACCCAATACTAAAAATTTCCACTCCCAGAGAATTTAGATCCATGTCTATACTTAGGTTTCAGCCCCCAAAGCCTTTTTTCTTCTACCTAACCCTGCTTCACGTGCTACAGTGTAACAACTAATGCACTTTGAGCTGTTATTTACCAACTTTCACCAAACTCTTGTGAATTTGCGCCACCCAGTGGCTGAAGTTGCCAACTTCATCCTCTGAAAAAAGCAGTGGGCAAAAATAACAAATGAGAAAGAAGTTATATGTGCCCTAAATGATGGCTATAAGTGCCCCAATTCACAGCCGAATTTTGTCCTATTTTAAGTTATTTTCTAAAACTTAAAATAGGATGGAGAAAGATATGTTCAGAGGTATAATGTCATGGTCTCCCCCAAATAAGATGATATCCAGAAGACTCTTTTAGCATTTCTACAGGTCACTACTGCTCCCTACTGCTCGAAAAATGAATAAATAGTGCAGACTACAGGGTAAAGTCCTAATTGCCCTCTAGAAGAATCAAACATTCAACAGAAGAGACACTGACTTTGAAGACATAAGCTATACAACACAATAATATCATATAGTAATTTAACTTATTCTACAATAAATTTCCTTAGACACGTTTATGTCTAGGACATATGCCAAGGAGTATAATTCATTGTTCAACTTTGTAAATGCATATTGTTTTCCAATGCCCCAGCGGTAAAGAGAGTCTCTATTGCCGTAACCGGTTTGGCTCAGTGGATAGAGCGTCGGCCTGCCGACTGAAGGGTCCCAGGTTCGATTCCGGTCAAGGGCATGTACCTTGGTTGCGGGGACATCCCCAGTGGGGGGTGTGCAGGAGGCAGCTGGTCGATGTTTCTCTCTCATCGATGTTTCTGACTCTCTATCCCTCTCCCTTCCTCTCTGTAAAAAATCAATAAAATATATATATAAAAAAGAGAGAGAGAGTCTCTATTATTTCACACCCTAACTTGGAAATCTCAGACTAAAATTTTTGCCAATCTTTTGGCTATAAAGTATGTAGTATATTGTTGTTCTTATGTGCATTTTCATGCTTACTAGCGAAGTTGAGCGTCTTTCCATATATTTATTTGCTTCAGGTTTTCTCTTGCTTGTTTATAACCTCTCCCTTTTTTTCTACTGGGTGATTAGTTGTTTTTTTAAATGAGCTGTACTGTCTTGTATTCCTGACTATACAGTAGGCCCAATGAATCTGTGGGTTCTACATCCACAAATTCAACCAACTGTGGATAGAAAATGTTTGATTTTTTTTAATGTTACGTTGTTGCTGACATGTATCATGTTGTTAGTTCCGTTTGGTGGGATTTTTAGACATACCTG